TCTATATCTGAGACATTGCCTGCAGTCATGGGCAAAACAGGTGACTGATACTGCAGTCCACTGAGATGACAGCAACCAAGGCAAGCTGTAGGCAGCATTTTGCAGGAATGACTTGGAGAAATATTTATGAAGAATATTTATCTTTTTTCACTCCAGCATTCAGGGATGGGACTGTTATCTTGGACCTGTGAAGGGCAGTGAATTTTCTCAGCAGCTTCCCATAAACCAGCTGGAATTCTCTCATTACTGTGACAACTCAGTCATGCTCAGACAGATGCAAGAGGCAGTTTTTTAAAACCTGAGCCTTTAAATGCCCACACCAAAGTTATTTTGATTATTCCATTTTCCTGCTATACCTTCTCCCATTTCTGCTAGGTTTGTTAGGAATTGCAGCCTTCTATTTTGCAAATTTACTTTTTTTGTCTTCTCAGAAGCTATTACATTTATCTGTCAAGTCTGCCAGTGCTGGGCCCAAGGAGTTTGGGCTTTTCACCTGAACCTACTGGAGACAGTTTGTGCTGGGGAAGGGATGATTGTGAACAGAGAGTCATGATCTCAAGGCAGTAAGTCCTCCTTTCTGAGGAGAACATGGACACTGGATTTCTTTAGTGACAGTGAATAATATCTTGGACCAGAGACATCTTCCCTGGAGCCAGAAAGCCATCATGACCCCATCTGTGAGCACTTCTGTGGGAACAAAAGTGCAAGGGGAGCTGAGGGATGTTCTGCAGAGAAAGAGAAAATGGTTCAATCATGTCTACAGAGGTGACAGCCCAAATGAGAGTTCTGCAAGACAGAGGAAGCACATCATTGCTGGTTAGGCAGCAGTTTGAAGTCCTGGGAGCCTTCAGCAACTCTCTTTTGGCCTGCTCCTGTAGCCCAAAGTGCTGGGTTTTGCATGAAAATGAATAACACATCAGCCACTCCTACGTGGGCAGCCGAAGTCATCTGCGGTTCAAAGTGAAAGTTATTTTTCAAACAACCTTTTTTTGTCAAAGCAAATTAGAAACAGTTGGATCTCACTGAGCTCTGTCTCCCCAGAGGACAACGTGGGGGCATAACAAAATGATTCCCAGTATGATTGCTGGTAGACAGGAATTACTATTTTGAATTATGAACAGCGCTGAATGGGAGGAGAAATTACAACACCAAGAGCACCAGTATCCAGTGTATCAGAAAACAATGCATTCCCATTACACCAGCAGCAACTAATTTTCCTATTCCCCAGAGTGCCAAGCATCCCGAAAAATGTTCCTGCTAACAGGCGAGAGCACATTTATTACTTTCATATTATCACTCTGGATTCTGGCCAGAGGGGTTGGAGCAGAAGATTATGACCCAGGAGCATATAATGATCCATCAGTAGAACTCAGCTGTCAGCTTTCTTGATTTACCTGCAGAGATGTCACCCACAATGCATTAGGCAACACTCCCTGCAAAGCTGCAGAGCTTTTGCCACTCAAGACCAGAGTAAAGAAGGCTGAACCAGAAAAAAGCCTCAAACTCCTCTGCCTTTTCTGTAATTTGGTAGACATTTTCCCTGCTAATTCAATAGAAGTACAAAACTGAGTATATACATGAAATAAATACAACACTACCAAAATAAGACTCTGTTGCAGACACAGTCCTTGGAAGGAGAAGGCAAGTGGAGCTTATCAGTGTTTCTTGGCCATGTCACTCCTTTCAGGATCAGGATATCGAGATGATGTTGAAAGTGGCACAAAAACCTCAGCAGAAAAGAGCAGCAGTTGGGTAGATTGTTACTGCCTGACCTTTGTCAGACACCTGCCAAATCATAGAATCATGGAATTGTTTCAGTTGGAAAAGACTTCTAAGATCAAGACCAACTATGAACCCAGCACTGCCAAGCCACTGCTAAACCATGTCCTTAAATGCCACATCCACAGGTTCTTTGAACACTTCCAAGGACAGTGACTCCACCACTTCCCTGGGCAGCCTGTGCTGATGCCTGTCCACCCTTTCAGTGAAGATCTGCTTCCACATATCCAGTCTAAACCTCCTCTGGCACAACTCAAGGTCATTTCCTTGTGTCCTGTCACTTCTTACCTGGGAGCAGATCTCACCTGGATCCACCCTCCTTTCAGGTAGTTGTACAGAGTGATAGTGTTCCCCTCTGAACCTCCTTTGCTCCAGACTGAGCCCCGCCAACTCCCTCAGCTGCTCCTCACCAGACTTGTCTCACCTGGATCCACCCTCCTTTCAGGTAGTTGTACAGAGTGATAGTGTTCCCCTCTGAACCTCCTTTGCTCCAGACTGAGCCCCGCCAACTCCCTCAGCTGCTCCTCACCAGACTTGTCTCCAGACCCTTCCTCAGCTCTGTTGCCCTTCCCTGGACACAAATCCCAAAGGACTTTATCCTATTTTATTTACATGCTAAGAGATTCCGGTATTTTAAATCCCACTGGATCTTCCTTTCTAAAAAGAAAGTCTTCCCTATTCCAAACCAAGTTCAGCCAGTATAAATTTGCATGGATAATCAAACACCCTAGTGAGTGCAATGCTGCTGCTGGTCACGAAAGTCCCCTCACTCACCCAGGGGAGTCTAGCTACGAGGAAGCCTCCCAAAGCTGGCACAGGCAGGGAGAACAGAGATTTAAGGGACAAAACATCTGGACACCTTCTGACATTTGGACGCCAACAGTTCAGTCTCTTCCACAACACCAGTATTTCTCCTGAGGCTACAAATCACAAACAAGCAGCTGGCTGGGAATGACCTGTCCAGGAGTTACCGCCTTGCTCTCCTTCTTTTACAAGTACCTGGCTCACCTCAATACTTTCCCAGTTATTTTCCAGCAGAACCTCACACAGAAAGTTCCCCTCCATCACAGGTTAAACCTTCCTCTGTGTACTCACCACTTTGGATTTCTTTCTAGTAATTTCTGCACTTGGGCCAGAGATTGGAGTCCACATGGGAACAGCAGTAAGTGTCTCTCTAATTCCAGGGCTGCATGGAGACACAGCAAACCCGAGGCTTTCTGCCTTGCCTTCTACTGTTTTCCTGTCTGAACTAAAGCTAGCACAGGAAAGAACACAGCATTCTCCTTTTCCCTGGCGAGGCTGGGAAACTACCCTCAACATCCCTGCATGGTAACCAACCAGGCCCTCAGCAATACTCCAAAAAGTTCTGACTCTCCAGCATCTCTTTCCTGGCACCCTTTGCCTCAGTCTATAGGGAAAGCTAAAGCATTTCTTGCCCACCTCTAGGAAAAGCAGGGGGTTTGTCCTGAGCTACAAAAAGCTGGCAAGGGCATTAGGCTAACACTGGCCAGCTGCAGCACTTCCCAGCTCCATCCCTGCCCCCATCAGCCCTGCTCCCAGCACCTGAGGAGCCTGGCAAAGGCAGCTGTGTGGGGAACAGAGGTGTTGCTGTGTCTATTTCTGGCCCCCACAGAACAGATGAAGTGAGGAGTACCACGATGGACTTTGTGAGCCAAACAGGGGGACAAAGAGGGACTGCTGCTCCTGGGAATGATTTCTGCCCTCACCTTCTGTGTGGGGAATAGAGCTATGACCCTGCTGCTGCTTGGGAATAGAGCTAGTTTCCTTCCCCAGAGATGGATGTGCAGGCAGCCCTTTGCCTTTCTCCCAGGTGCAGTGGCATCACATGCCATCACACAGCAGCTGCATTTCACAATGACTTGATAGATACCTTAATGATGGCAGAGTAATCTGAACATGTCTGTTTTGGAGGATGAATAAAGGCCTTCTGCCCTCATTAGACTTTTCTCTCCAGATCCACATACTGTTTGGGTATCACATCACTTTTGGCCAAAATATTCTAAAAACAGCCTCCCCCCACAAGTGTTGGTTATACATAGGCTCCATTGAGAGGGATGACTCAAATGACTTCAAAATTGTGAGCAGGGCCAGGGAAAGGGGTTGCTGGGGCTTTGTTGGCATCTGCCTGTTTCTGGGAGCCCATGGCCAGACAGGCAAAGGCAGCCTGCAGCCTGGTTTTTGAGAGATGAGCCATGCCTTGCTGTAACCTAGCACCGGGAGTCCATGTGCAATTCCAGACTCACCTCTGGGGCTTTTCCTGCCTGTCTGTTGTGTCGACCCAAAGGTATTTCCCTCCTGATGGGTTTTCATTGCCTCAGGAGCTGCTTCTGCCATTAAGTGACAGCAGATGGGTACCACCTGGGGCATGGCCAGGTGATAAAATCCCCCCAAAGAGCCCAACATTCAGGCTTTTTTTCCTCCGCATCCCCAAATTGAATGCAAGAAGGTTTCATTTGGACAATATCCTTGCAAGGATGCATGGGCAATACCTGGGATGCAGTTCCTGACAGGTGTTGGTGTCCCTGGCTGTCTCTTTGTGGGAAGCCATGGCCATGCTAGGGTTCAGCTGCTGGCAGCTAATTTCCCAACCTGGCAACCTGAAATTACCCCAGCCCCAAGCACACAACAGCTCCTCTATGCTCCTCCCCTTCCTGCCTCCAAAACCTCTGCTTTTTGGGTCACCAGGCCTTGGGTGGTCCCCAGGCTTGGGTGGTTGTTTGCCTCCTCTATAATCTCACTTTTCCAAAGGGATGATATTATAGCAAATTGTAGAAAAACACGTGATGGCAGCTTGTCTGCTTATGGTATCCATTTTATTTTTCATATTAAGCAGCATATCAAAAAATAATTTATACAGGAAAATATGCATGATACACTCCGTAATAAATAGAAGGTAAAAAAAATAGATTTCTTTAAAAACATTTTGAAAACCAGCAAAACAAAGATATCCAATAAATATATTCATTCATGTTCTTTCAGGAAGGGCATTTCTTTACCTCCTCCTGAGCCATTTAGAACTACAAAATAAATCCCAATAACTTAGAAAACGGTAAAAAAATGTTCCCTGAGCTCACATAAGGAAGAAAAAGGCTTAAATAGGATGTACAGTCCAGTGATGCAATACAGGTTGGTTTTCCCAGTCCTCTGAGCATCCTTTGGGGCTGGTGAGACTGTGCAGTGCTGGCACACCGCAGTGGGGGCTAAGTGCATCGCTCCCGGAGGGCAGCGCACCGCAGGTCGTTCAGCACTTGGAAGAGGCGGTTGATGGCAGAGGCCTCGAGGCAGCCAGTGGTCTCCTGTGGTGGGGAAAAGAGGTGGATTAGCATTGGAGCAGAGTGCAGTGAGCCCTACACAGCCGTGTGGTTGCTCACACCCTGAAAACCCCTCGCCCTGCTGGCCTGACTTACTGTTTTCTTGGCCATCTGCAGCTTCTGCAGCCAGTGCCTCAGTCTCCCAGAGGGCTGGTGCAAAGGAGCCTCTGTGGACATCTGCAAGGAAAGCAGGACTGGGTCAGGACTGGTGATGCCCCGTGGCACTGTCACCAGCACTGGGGCTGCTGAGCTGGCACGGGGCTGGGGAGCTTTGGGGAAGCACTCACCCAGCATCGCAGATCCTCCCGGACATGGCTGAGGAAGTCCAGGGGCTGCTGGCGTGTCTCGGCGAAGCTGGGGATGGCAGGGAGCTCCAGCATGGCAATGGTGAGGCTCACCTCGGCTTCCACCAGCATCACTCGGTCAGGCACCTGTGGGCAGGAGTGTCTTGGTTAGGGTAGGGTCCCAAAGCACCAGGGCTGGCCATGGGCTGGAGGATGGGGGTCTTGAAGACCTGCTCAGGGGTGTGGGTGGAAGCGAGTACAGCTGACAAGAGGTCCCAGCTGTGGGGGTATATCCCCTTTCTACAGCGTGACCTGGTTCTTACCGACAGGTCGCCTGTGTTCCATTTCCGATGGAAGAGTCTAGTGTTGCACTTGTGGTCTGACAGCCGCATGATGTCCTCCTGCTGGAAAAACCAAGAGAGACTGAGAAACTGTCATCATGACTTCTGTGAGGTTATGCAACCATGGCCAGCCTTGAGAGATTTGAAATCAGGATGAAATTTGGCCCAGCATCCTTCATGTCCCCAAACTCCCTTTGAAAATATCATCCTCATCCCCAAACTGCTGCAGAAAACATCCAGCTCAGGTTTCAAATTCAGCATCCCCCTTGCTTGGCCCCCTGCCTGCCCACAGCCCCCTATTGCCAGCAGTACTCACAAACTGGTCCTGCATCTTCTGCACAGCCTTCAGAACCTCGTGGGGCACGAGGGACTGGTACATGGACAGGCTGCAACTCTTCTTCAGGGCACCCTGCGGGAAGGCAGCCGCGAAGGTGACCCCCAACACAAGCAGTGACGTGAAGCTGAGGCTCAACATTTTGTTGATAAGAGCTCGATGATGGGTTAGAATGGGGTGAGGAGGCTGCAGCACAAGATGCCAGAGATGATGAATCGAAGTCCTTCAGGCAGGATTCTCTAAATTCCCGATGCAGAGATGCCACAGGTGTCTCTCTCGGCTGTAGAACTGCTGGGCTGGTGGCCGTCCTGAGGAGATGCTTTCTGTGTGTGAGTGCCTTGTGCCCCATCTCCCCGGCTTTTTATACCACCTGCCCGGTGTGATTGCACTTTCACGTCGGCAGGAAAATCCGCCTGGAAGCTCTGGAAACAGGAAAGCGAAAGCCGCTGTG